GGGGGGGTTGGGGCGGGGGGGAATATACTCGTTTGGACAGAAAACAGGATGTGGAAGTCTCCTACATTGTGCACATAGCCCTTTTTCCTGTTTTGACTATATAACCTTTCAGACTAAGCAAATCAATGTTATGATTTTTACAACTCTAGAACTTCCATACATGGGAAAGCAGGGGGGGGGGAACTATTTTTTTCTATTACTGCATCCAAACTAATCCTAAGTTTATCTAGAAAAAAACCAAACAATTGATTTAAGCGTCTAGCTTCCATGAAACACAGTCGAGATGCGAATGAACTAGGATGAAGGATGAACAGTGTAAAGATGACCAAAAGAATTGGATAGGGAAATATATGGAGTTGAGGAAACAGATTATGTAGGAGAATTCTGCCACAATACAAGAAGGTGGCGGAATATTGATGCATACAGTTAACCTGATGACATAGAGGCAATAGTCGATACTTTTTTTGAGAAATTGGATCTTGTGGATGTGGGGCGCTTGAAGCGGAAAGGGTAATTTTGGGACAGATTTCAACATGCAACTTTGGAGGATTGTATCTTTTGATGCACTCAGTAGAATCCTTTTTGCAATACATATTTTCGAAAAGCACGTTTAAGAGTTCCAGTTAACTTTTGAGCGTCTTTGTAGTTCCAGTTAACTTTTGAGCGTCAAAGGATTTCATCTTCAGGCTCAGACTGCACGTTTAAGAGTTTTGGTATCTTTTAATTTCTGGATCATAAAGGAAGTCTCCTTACTTTAGGGAGTCTAGTTTATTACTTTTGTTTCACACCCTATTTAAGGGGGCCGAATTCTATGACAATTCTTAAGCTTGGTTATTATATTTCAGAAAGTTGTTTCTTTTCCTAGGGCTTTCTAGGGTCTGTGCTGTTTTGCTCATACGAGAACAAGCATTGTTATTTCCCTTACGCTTCGCTACATCACCTGAAATCGTGATAAAAAAGATGGACACAGCATACTAAATTTGCAATTATCGTCATGTTAATATATAAGATTGACAGAAGAGAAACTGACTATTGATATACCAATTATGAAGCCTTCAAATTCAAGAACTCGACTTTAGCTTTACTATATTTAACCCTGAGATTCTATTACTAATATTTTACTAGTCCGTATATGGAACTTTGTCATCATACAACTGATGCAAAATAAAATCTTTTATAGCATAGAAGAACGATACACGTAGCATATTTCTATTTGAAAATGTCAAACTGGGTACAGTTCTTTGAATAGGTCATCAACCTGACATCAACCTTCAATATTTGATGAAACCAAGAAACTAAACAGAACATGGCGTTTGCCTTGTCATTGATCCTAGAAGATTAATGGAAGACCAAAAACCTTCCTAATTAGTCATGTACTCTAATTTCATGCAATCAAGGAAACGTCCTTAAAATTCTCCTAGATGCAGAGTCCAGAATGGAAAAGATAACAGATTTTTGTTGGAGGAACAACACTCCATAATACATACTCTATACTTGAGCCAAACCAAAGTTCCAAATAGACTACTAGTGCTAACATAATCATAAGAGCTAAACAGAGATGTGTCATTAAGTTCCTAACTGGCAAAACATAATTTAGTATAGTAATCACGTAACAGAGGTTTTATCTTAGTCTTAAAACATGTACTTTGGGGTTTGTATAATTTAGTTAGCTTAGAAGTTTAAGGAGAGGAATGATGATGCCCTCTCCAGCATCGAAGCCAGGTACGTCCTATGCACAAAGGTCTGCATATGACATATTCTCAAGGATCTAGAAATATTCATATCCTCACATTTACTTTCCTCTGATAAAGACAGCGCCTGCAATCATTTTCTACTCAGAAGAACAAAGCATATGGAAATTTAATTCAGATTTATTCAACAAATTTGATATCCACCCCTTTACCCTGGTGTATCCTTTATTCCATTTCAAGCAGCTGAAGAATTCCTCCAGGAGAACTTCCTCCAATGATTCACATCTTTTTTGGGCAAACTTTCAGCATGATGGACCTTAACTTTCAAGTGTGTATATGAGACACATATACATTGTATATTATTATATAAACATTATCCATGAAGTTTTTCATAGATATGGCCACATCTCAACATAAATTTTCAAAAAGTTGAGTATATATACTAGCAAGGGAGTAGTATTGTTGCTTCTGCTATTGTCTTCCCTTCTCTATTAAGAAGTTTTAAGGTCTTTATCTCTGAAAGTATAGTAGCTTAAACTTTTTTTTCTTCCAGTGAAAATGGAGGGGAGTACAATTCCACTGATTGAAAAATGAAATTTCACTGATACAGTATTTTGCGTAGTTAATGTTTTGAAGTTTCAAAAGGCTACACAAAATAATCATGAAAAAATGATACATAAATCTCATAAAGATAAAACATAACCAAACTAATGTGAGCATGAATATTAAAATAGACCAAAAATGATTATCAACTCACAGGAAACCAACGGAAATCCGATTATCATAATTCAGACCATCAGACATGCCAAGATCTCCAATATGATCACCAAGGAGTAACACATTTGTCCTATTCTTCACCATGGTGTAGTCATCTACAGATCCATTTGGATCGCCTAATTTGTCATGAACTGGAGCGGCCATATCAAGGGCATGCTCATTTTTGTTCAAGACATGAATTGTCTTCCCTGTAAGCAGTAAAAACCAAGATGATGAAGCAAGTTACTGAATGATAGGCATGTTTTATTATGACACAGTGAAAAGATGTTAAGGGTGTCAGTTGCTCCAAGTATCTATGGATGTGAATACCACATATGTTACAATATAGGAGCAACTAGCTGCCCTGGACGGCAAGGAAAATAATGAATAACTATTAAGTTTAAAGGCAAGCTAATCAAAATTGAAATGAAAAGGTTCAAGCATTTTCAATTTCAAGCATCGAATATTTAATGGCTTAAGTTAAACCATCCGAACCCCACATGAAAGATATGTTCTACTAAATGAAACAATATAAGATATTAGCAGACAACATATGAAACTCAAAAATCACCTTTAAAGGATATAAGACGACCATTATTATCGAATACCATTCTGTTAGATACAACCTTGACGTTTTTAAAAGATCTATGAAGTTTCTGCCTGAAGACCTGATTAATGGACAAGAAGAAACTTAAAGACGTCATCATCCCAAATATCAGGGGGAAAAGAAAAAAAAAAATAGAACCTAGTTTGATCATGAATTAACATATGTTCTTTGATTATACCTCTTCTATAATATCTGCGAGTCCTGCAGAAAATATTAGTACGGGCACATCCTTCTCCTGCATTAAAAGAAAATATAGATTAAATCCTGCAAAAATATATGTCACAATAGGTTCAAGGCCTACTATAAGATGAGCTTAGCTCATGCAGTGTGACACTTTTCAACCATGATAAGAAATAGTGATGTCTCTCCTCATGGAAGATTTTTGCATCCAAGGAATGAGCATAGGCTACATATAATTCTAAAATACCAAAACAAGTGTAAGAAAACATACGACATTCCCACTTTATAAGATGGAAAAAAGTGATTCATGTTTAAAAATAAGCAGCATGGCTTGAGAGGGGAAAAAATTAATAGCCTCATAGTCACAAAATCAACAATTCATGTGAAGAAATCTCAAGCATTAATCTCTCTGTTTGATATATCAACAGAATTATCTCATCAAACACAATCTAATGTTCATGAATCCAATAGATTCCACAGTTTTAATTTACTTGCAAGAATTACATTTTCCAAGATAGTCAAACCAATGAACAATGCATCAGGAAAAAAATTTAAAATCTAAGCAAGGATCAAAAAATAGTTACATGCTTCTTAAAGCATTATCACCTTAACAATCATAATTGTAATCATTTTTTTATTTTTTTTGTAAAAAGTAAAAGCATGATAAGATAAAAGTAAGATCGATTAACTATTGAAACCCAACTGTATGTCTCTAAAGTATCCAAAAGCAAACACGCCAAATCCATGGGGGGTAACTATTAGATAGATTAAAGTATTAAACCTAATTGATGCGAAACAATGTGATGCAGGTATGAAGATTAATGACAACAATGCTTCGCCAAATCAGCGATCGATCTAGGCAGGAAGCTCAAGAAGAAAGTGTAGCTTTCGATGGGTTTTAAACAAAAGTTGCAATGTACTAAGTTCAAATCTTTTGTAAATGATCCAGAAAATAAATGTAATAATTCGTTCTCTCAATACAGTTCAAATTGTAATATTTAGATAAGTAAAAGTACTTAGCAACAGATTCGCTCGCTCACTTAATCAAGCTGAATACAGCACAAATACGATCGATAATAATATTGATAGCAACATGCAAGCAATAGCAGTTCCGAAAATATTTGGGCGAAATAAAGTTAAACCTTCATCGGGTTGAACTGGTTCGACGGGAGGCTCCTCTGGTGGTGGTTCGTACACGCCAAAAATGAGGGGAGGAAGTTCTCCTCCGAGAGCGACGTAATTCGGATGGAGCGGTGTATCTGGATGGAAACGCCGATGCCACGAACTGATGCCCAAGCTACTCTCTACGCTGTCAACGATCTGATGAGTCACACGCTCAACGTACTCGGGCACGCTCTCGAATGACTGATAATCAAACCACGGGGAAAGTTGTAAATCTACTATGCCGGTCTCTGGATCTAGCACGAGTCCGTCTTCAGCGTCGGGATCAGCCATACACCATCAATTGCAGAATCAGGAATCAAATGGATCGAATCTGACTCGACTAATACCAGCGGGGATGAGTGTTAGGCGGTGGAGGAGGTCAGAGGGGCGGATGGGTTTGTAGGGGAGCAGGGGAATGTTGATGGGTCTGTGATTTGAGAAGAAGGAGGGAGATGAACAGTGTGATTTTTTTTATTTTTCTTTGTTTTCTGTTGTGAAGAAGAGAGGTGACGGCTGATAACCAGAAATCAATAAGCTAGGGTTTCACACCATAATTTAGCAAATCAATTTCATTCATCAATTTATTGATTCTGATTACAATCATGTTTTTATAGAGCAATTACAAAATTTAAAATCTCTCAAATCAATCAGATCCCTCAAATCACTCTCTTGCCAAAACTGAATAACTACTAAATTAAACAACAATTCAAAATTTAAAATTCAAATTTCAAAAATTAAAACTAAGCTAATATGAAAGATTTCCAATTCTTGTTCTCATCACTAATTGTACGTCTATGAAGTATTTTGAAAAAATACACAACAAATCCATACAGGATAACTTTTTTCCCCTTTCTAACATTTAGTATATAGTCAAGAAGAGATGCTTAAGCTAATTCAGTCAATGGAAACATCCATCACATGGCATTCCTCAGGATCTAGCTCTTAAGTCTCAAGGTTTTTCATTTCATTGATTTATCACTCATGGAGTGACTCTGTCATGTTATAACAATCATTTTATAAGCTAATATGTTTTGCATGTACTGGATTAGTGATTCCATAGAATAATGGCCATAACAATTACCTCCAAATATTCGAATAGCTCAACCAAACCATCTCTAAAAGAAATTGTAGCATCTGCCACGGATTTCTTAATAGCATCAAAGGTCAGACCTCCCTCAATGAGAAGACCATGTGTCTTCTCCCACCTGTAATTGTGTAGAAAGTGTTAGAATAAAAAAAAATATAACCGTCAATATTCACCATAACTTCGAGGTTTCAGTGTAATGGTGAGAGGGGACTTAAGATGGTATCAGAGCAACCCAGGTTCAAATTCCACCGACTATGAATTTAAAACGGATTTTCTAAAAATTGACACAGCTCCATGAGTCCAGGTTTCCGCCAAAAAAAGGGCTCACACTGTAGGGGCATGTTAGAAAAAATATAACCCTCATCTTCACCACAACTTTGGCATTTTGGCATAATGGCTAGAGAGACTTTAAGAGAAAGTAGCTTAGGTTTTATAGAATAGATACTTTAGGATCCCTTGAACTTTGGACTCTTGCATAAAGCAGTAATTTACATTCGGACTAGAAATTTTACATGTATGTTTCTCAGAAATGACATGAGATTTACTATTAATCAGTAGGCTAACTACATCCAGTTAAACAGCAACCATGAACATACATGATCAACAAAGAAAGACTATAGCCTAGTTAATGTTTGTTTTGTGTTTGGCAAAAACTGGAGTAAAGTTGGCCCTGTTTTTTTAAGCCAAAATTTAGGCCCTTAAATGTCATGGTCCATCCCCCTGATTCGTTCATAATCCATTAGGATAAACCTGGCCAGGATCAATCATAACCTGATTTTTAATGGTTTGGCAAACACACCCTTAGGCTTACTGAGGTACAAATATGTTTCTGCCATTTATTTTTGTCATTCTCAAGTCTCAACACTTATTGACTAGCTCAACTGAGGTTTCAGCTTCCTGAGGTACAAATATATTACTACCATTTATATTTGGAATTTCACTTTCAACACTTTTCGACTAGTTGAACCGAGGTCCCAAACACGTCAGTAGCTTGTTGATTGATTACATGCAACACAAGCTAGGTAAGCAGAAAGATGAGCTTTGACATAGTAAACACTAAGGGCATGCTCTGTACTCGACTTGCCTGACAGTTTCCATCCTGATTACTCATGAGGATTTCAATGCTTATAAATTATGAAGAAACTTTTACCCTTTGGATCATCTTAGACACACTCGACCAACAAGTACGAGTTCAAATTTGACTCCATTACCATGAAAATTCAATAAGGATGAAAGATATTTAATTAGTATGGACTGTCACTGCAAGTAAATTGTCATTGGTGTCACATTGGCTCTTTATATGAATAAACAACCACTGCTAAATAACGATATCCAACTTGATCCATGTGGTCTTTCACATATTTGATCCACGTGGTCTTTCACATATTTTTTTTTAATTAGAATTTTCTTTTTTCAAAACCAGCAGCTTTGGGGCATTGTAATTGTAAGCTGATTGGGTTGTATCATGTTGAATCTTCCATCAAATTGTTATGGTATGTCAAAAAAAATGGTGTGCAATGCGTACTTGATGCACCTACTATGAGCAAGTCACAATCTGTGCATGCACGTGCCAGCGTTTTCGCATACGTGCCTGTCTATATGAGCAAACAGTGACCAGTGTGCCCTTCCATGGTATTGGAAGGTGTGTCATTGGTATGGCACACATCTAGACTACTACAATCTAGATTATTAACATAGTCCAGATCATACATGTGGCTTCAATACATGTCATGTTAGTGACACACTAGACAACACTACGATGGAACACACCAGCTCCTGTTTCTCTGTGTACACACAAATGCACGCACGCATGCGCGCATGCGCACACACATGGCTGTTCGGTTACAATTGTGAGAGATGAGTATTTATGACACATTATGGAAAGTGGTAATCCACATCACCACTTTCATTTTGTGTGCTTCCATTGTTTGGTTTGGATTCTATTTGGAATCCTAAAACGGAAAACATACCTTGTTTGACTGAATTTAAGCTGATGCTAGTGTGCTACGCTATAATAATTTAATAATAGTAAAGGAGGAGCTTATGTGATGGTAAAACTGGAGGGTTTAATTGGATGTCATTTAATAAATACAATGGTATAATTAAAAGTTAATGAGGAATGAAGTATGTTATGCATGTGTCTTCATGTATGTACATATGTGTCTCCATGTATGCATGCATGCATGTATGTATGTGTCGTCATATATAAAGAGAGATGAATATAGGTATGCTTAGTACCAAGCAAGTGATGTGGCTACTTTTGATCCACTCATTTAATGGGAGGGTAATTAAGTGGGAATCATTTTTAAATAGGCACCTTTAAATGCATGGACAAAAAGCATCTATGTCACTACCAAACACAAAATTGGTCTTATATATGTGTGCATGTGTAGGGGGGAGCGTTATTTGTTTCTAGGGCATAACTAGCTTGGTTATGCTCGCTTGCAAAAATATGTATTATACAATCAATTTACTTGATCCACTTCATTCATTCGATTTATATGTTTTGGATGATATATAAACAAAAAATTTGGCATATTGTGCTATAGTTACTCATGCATCAAGTGATTATAAAATTAATGGTTTTATGACAAACAACTAAAGAGACAATGAAAAATATGTGTTAGTGTAGGGTCATAAATCTCACCCTAAAAGGAGTAATCCCTTTAGGATGGATAGGAAAACTGGTAATATTTGAAATAGTGTGTATCCCTAAGATTCGCTCTACAAAATAGATGTTTATTAACCGTGGTGTTCGATATCTCCAATAGACTCAATAGTCTGTTGTTAATTATCCTTTAGGGTTGTTAGAATTAGTATTTAGATTATCAGGTTAGGACTCATTAACCCATTAGCCTATTACCCATATGTACTCCTATATAAACCCATGTGGATGGATTAAAAGGATAGACTCTCTAAATTTTCTCTTTCAACATGGTATCAGAGTAGAAACCCTAACCCTTGTTTTCTCTACAAAAAAAACTGCACCTACCTCCGACGAAGCCTGCATTACCTCCGTGACGAAGCCCGACGAAGCCGTCGCGCCGCCGACGAAGCCCAAACTAAGCCGCGATCTAGATCAAATCTCAGGCATCAAGGCCAGCAGAACCCCAGATTCACCTCTTCACTCCGTCGTCGCCCCCGTCTTCCTGAATCTGCTCGCCGTGTCCTCAGTCACGGCCGGTCGTCGTCGATCCTTCGGAGCTTTTTTTTTCTTTTTTTTTTTTTACGCTACCGTTATTTGTATTTTTCTTTTCTGTTTGAGTTTGGGCCCTTTTTTGTTGGGCCTGGTTGCTGGACTTTGTAAGAACAGGAGTGATTTGTTCATTTACTTGATGGGGGTGTAAGAGCTACAGATTTAAAAATAATAATAATAATAAATATATATATTTATATATATATTTATTATTAATATATATATTTATTTATATATATATATATATATATATATATATATATATTAAAAAATATCTCTTGGATGAGATCTCTAACCTTCGTGTTTATGAATTATAATCCTTCGGGTTCCTACACACTAACCTTCGGGTTTTCTATTCTAACCTTCGGGTTTCTGTTTTAAACCTTCGGGTTTTATACAAGGAGATTATGATCCTCCTGCTTCTGTACTATCATGCTCTGTAATAATGACAGGATCTGACATCTTTTCTGATGCTATTACTATTACCCCTACTACTACTGAGATCTCTACCTCCAAAGTTGTATTGGGGACTACGGTGAAGTTAAATGGTACCAACCATCTACTTTGGGCACAAGCATTCCGCATCTTCATTAGTGCTCAGAACAAATTGGCTCATCTTCTGACCCCCACCTCCTGCATCTACAGGTCTTACGTATCCCGTATGGATCTCTGCTGACTGTTGTGTGATGACTTGGCTCCTTAACAGTATGGAAGCCCAGATCAGTAGCAGTGTCATATTCTCAAACACTGCTAAGGAGATGTGGGATAATTTAAAAATTATGTACGAGAATGAGAAAAATACATCCTGACTGTGTGTTCGAGTTGTATGAACGTCTTTTCTCTCTTCAACAGGACGATCGCTCTGTACCTGAGTACTTTGGTGAGCTGAAAAGTCTGATCAATGAGTTAGAGATGCATCAGCCTACGGTTACGAATGCACCAACACTGATGGGATATCGTAGGGACCTTGCAGTGTCCACGTTCTTGTCGGGTCTGAGTCCCACTTTACAATCTCATGTGCGGGGCCAGATATTAGGAGGAGATATTATTCCTTCTTTGACTGCTACTTTCTCAAGAGTTATATAGGTAACTACTGGAGATACTGCTACCTCACTGTCTACTCCATCTCTTGACCAGTCTGTTATGTTCTCCGGATGTGACAGAGGTCGAGGTCGTGGTCGTGGACGTGACCGCGACATAGGGGGAGGACGAGACTCTTTTGGTGGAAGACAAATCAACTCAGATAGGAATTTGCGTCAATGCCACCATTGTGGAAGAGCTAATCATATATCTGAGAAGTGCTGGAAAAAGTTTGGTCGTCCTGCATGGACCCAGATAGCTAATATTATTTCTGCTGTTTCTCCCACTACTACTACTTTCGCTTCTTCCATAGTTCAAATTTCTCAGGCTGAGTTTGACCGATTGCGTCAACTCGATCTCTCTTAGGACAGTTATCCTGCTACTCATGCATCCTCTTCAGGTATGGATGCTTACATTATCTTTCCTCACAGACCATGGGTATTAGTTTCTGGCACCTCTTCTCATATGACAGGTATAAAGGACCGCTTTGTTTCCTTAAATCTTTCTGATAAGTTTTCATCTGTTCGAATCGCTAATGGGACATACTCTCCAGTTTTTGATGATGGAGTAGTCCATGATATTTCATCACTGACTCTTACTGATGTTTTATATCTTCCCAAGTTTCCTGTTAGTTTACTGTCCATCAATCAGTTCACAAAACACAACTGTAAAGTCATATTTTTTTTCTTCTCATTGTGTTTTCAGGACCTAGCAACTGGGATGAAGATTGGTTCAAGATATGAGAGATAAGGCATGTACTATTTGGATGACAATACACCCACTACTGGTCTTGTTGCAGAAAAGTCTCATCATTCTTTACTATGACATCAACGTCTTGGTCA